TGGGGATTTTTTTTTTTTTTTAAATAGAAGCCAAATCACAGAACCATACATTCGTAACATCATCACTCTTCTTAACATCTACCACCCAAATCCCATTATCCGCCAGCTAAAATTTTCCAGAAGCCCTAAAATACACAGTTCCTTTGGTCGTTTGCCTCAGAGCTGTGGTGAGCAAACTGCGGCTCTCGAGCCACATGCGGCTCTTTGGCCCCTTGAGTTTTTAGCCAAGGCCAGCTTAGGGGTACCCTAATGAAGTTAATAACAATGCACCTGCCTATATAGTTTAAGGTTTTAAAAATGTGGCTCTCAAAAGAAATTTCAACCGTTGTACTGTTGCTATTTGGCTTGGAGGCATGTTCTGTACCACACTCAATGCCCGCCATTCAGTGTGACTGCACCCCGTTACTTGCCAGATACTCTCATTTGGTTCTGGTTTCCCTGCTGGGTGCTCAGCTCAGTACTTCCCAGCAGTCATGCCCCCCGTCACCTCCCCAACCCTCTGGGGGCGTTGGACTGGAGAGGCCCTGGCGCACCCCCCATGTCCTGGGGAAGGCCCAGAGCCCAGCTGGAGACGGAGGAGCTAATGGAGGAGGTGCTGGCAGGGGCGGGCTCCCTGGAAGCTGTTAAGGAGGAGGATCAGCGAAGGATTAATAGCCTGTGACCTTCTGGGCAAGCTGACAAGCTGCTGTATTTCTAGAAAGCTCCGGGCCTCCCACACTGAAGAATGTGATATGCAACTGGAGTGATTCCGTTTTGCTAAGTGGCCGGAGGGGGGTCGGAATCTAGGATGCAGTTCATTGTGAAAACCCGAAGATAACTTCGTCAGCCTCTGAGAGGAAAAAGGGGTTCGGGTCGCCAGGGGGTTGGGGGGACAGTCTTGGAAAAGCTGGGAGCAGCTGGGGAGGCGCAGTTCCCGTCTCTGTGAGGGGAGGGCTTGGCCCTCACATTGATCAGAGGCCTCGGTGGTGGAGCAAAGCATGACAGAGAGAGAGCTCTTAACTTTTCCGTGGCATGGCATGACCGGAAATAATTTTACAGCCCTTTTTTCCCATTCTGATATATCTCTTAGGTGCCGATGGTATGGCTGTACCACAATTTATTTGTTTGTGTGTGTTTTTTTAAATATATTCCATTGATTTTTTTACAGAGAGGAAGGGAGAGGAATAGAGAGTCAGAAACATCGATGAGAGAGAAACATGGATCAGCTGCCTCCTGCACACCCCCTCCTGGGGATGTGCCCACAACCAAGGTACATGCCCTGGGACCCTTCAGTCAAAGGGTATCTGGGTTGTGTCCAGTTTTTGACCACAGTGAAGAAATTTGCTATAAACATAAGTTTTTAACTTCTTTGGGGAAATCCCCAGAAGTACAATTAGTGGGTTGTATATTTAGTTGTGTTTTTGTTTTTTTTTTAAAAAAAAAGGTCAAATGTTTCCAGAGTAGGTGAACCATTGTACCTTCTCACAAGCAATCGGTGAATGATCTAGCTTCTTCTCATCCTCATCAGCCTGTCATGTTGTCACCCTTTATTTTAGCCATTTTGTTAAGTGTAGAGTGATCTCTCATTATATGGTTTTTAATTTTCTCTTCCTAGTGGCTAATGATGTTGAATATCAATTCATGTGCTTATTTGCTATGTGTATATTTTCCTCAATTAAATCTCTGTTCATGTATTTTGCCCATTTTCCAATTGTTTGGGTTTTGTTTTTTTACTGTTTGAAAGTTCTTAATTCTAAACATTAGTGCTTTGTCAGATATGTAGTTTGCTAATATTTTCTCCTAATTTAAAGCTTATATTTACATCTACTTCACATGCGCAAAAGTTCTAAGTTTTGATGAAGTTATCAATCATCCCTTTTATGGATTGTTTTGGGGGTCAAGGCCAAGAACTCTTTGCCAAGCCCTAGATTCCCAAGATTGTTCTCTTTTTTTCTGAATGTTTCATGGTTCTTACATTTTACATTTATGTAGTGATTAATTTTTAGTTAATCTATACTAATGAAAGAGTAAGATGCAAATCAACCATACCTTCGTGATGCCCATCAGCCAATCAGGAGTGAGCATGCAAATTAACCCAAAAAGATGGTGGGTTAATTTGCATACACAGGGGCAGGGCGCCTCTGGGCAGCATGGGAAGGCAGAAAGGTGGCTCAGGGCCTAAGGGGGAAAGTGGCTCTGGCCTGAGTGAAGATGGTGCCGGTAGCCAGGGGAAGGAAGTCCCATTCTTGCACGAATCTTCGTGCATTGGGCATCTAGTCTTTATATATAAAGTGTGAAACTCATAGACAATAACTGCTCTACATCTACTAAACACCACAGGAAAGAAAAAACAAAAAACTGTTGTCTCCCCTGCCACCCCCACTAAAGGGGGCCCTAGACTTTCACCCTTGCAAGGTGTTGTCTTATTGAGCACCTACTATATCCCAGAGCCATCACTCTCCAGGCATTTCAAATCAATGGCAAGGGGCTGGCTTTTCAGGCCTATATTGTGGAGGGGAGAGCTGATACTAGAATCCATCGGACACATTAGGACCCAGCTGCGTGAAATTTGGGCAAACTGTTCCCTACTCTGAGCCTCATTTTTCTTCATTTGTCATAAGATGGGCTTTGAGGATTAAATCAGACAAAGTGTGTGAGAGGGCCTGTGCTGGGGTGTTCAGTAAATAAACTCATTCTTCTCCAGACAGATCCATTGCAGCTGTTGGACATTAGCAATGGGTTGTTGTCAGAGAGCGGAAAAGGGCCGGTTGTGTGCAGCCATGCCTGGGGTTTCTAAGGGCTAATTATCTGGTTTATAGATAAACTACTAGGAACCATCTGCTCTTGCTTCCCAGCTTGGTGGCCAATGCTGTGACTGGCACCCTGCAGCTATGGTGCCAGGAAAAGAGGGCAAGGGAACATTTTATTCGAATTCAGTAAGTATTTCTAGGAGATTGGCAGGCTCAGAAAAGAAATGAGCATGGGTAGAAAGAGATTTTCTTTAAACTGATTTTCTTAGTTTTACCAACTTTTTATAAATTGGGGGGAGGGGAGGAGAGGAAATACCCATAAAATTAAGTTCTGTTGTAAAACACATAAAGAAATTTTACCTGTTCTATCTGAAGGGGAAAAGTGTCAGGTTACCAGAGTGCAGTTCTTGAAACCATTCATGTTAAATTTTCTGATTAAAAAAAAAAAAAAAAAAAAACTTTATTGTTCAAAATATTACAAATATGTCCCCTTTTTTCCCTTGTTAACCCTCTTCACCTGACTCCTGCCCCATCCCCAAGCTTTCTCTGAACTAATGTTTGTCCATGGGCTATGCATATATGCATATAAGTTATTTATTTAGTCTCTTCCCACATACCCCTCCCTCCACCTTATGAAATACATCAGTCTATTGCATGTTTCAGTGTCTCTGGACCTGTTTTGTTCTTCAGTTTATTTTGTTCACTAGATTCTTTTGAGGTCCCTTACTGACTGGTGTATCAGTGAAAACTCGGCTGTCACCTTTACTTTTACTCTCTCGGCACTTACCATTTATTTGCATTTTTTCCCACTTACCATGTTCTCTTTCCTCCCTTTTTTTAAAAAATATATTTTTATTGATTTCAGAGAGGAGGGTGGGGGACATCAATGGTGAGGGAATCATTGGCCAGCTGCCTCCTGCACACCCCCTACCTGGGATCAAGCTTGCAACCCGAGCATGTGCCCTGACCAGGTCCATGGCTCAACCACTGAGCCATGCTGGTCGGGCCTCCCTTTCTTAAGTCCTCCTCTGAGTGGCATCTCCAGAACCATGCCTGGGATCCATCCCCTGGGTCAGAGCACCAAAGGCATTTCTGAAACAGCCGTGCACAGGAAGCACAGCAGTGTCGTGCGCGGGGGAAAGTCTCAGGCAGAGGGTGGAGCGGGTCATTTCTAACTTGTTTCTCGGGGACGGGGAAGACCCTCAGGGATCCTGCCTGCATCTTAGCACCTTGTGAGCAGCATCAGCATGAGCCTCCCCAGTTTCCATCCATCCCACCCGACACTGGACCCTCACAACCTGGAGCTTGGCTCTGCCCTTCATCCATTCACTGTCTTATCCTTTAGCCACCTTAAAGAGAAATAGTCAATTCGAATAAAGAAAGCACTTTTTTTTTTAACAGAGAGAGAGAGAGAGAGAGAGAGACATCGACCAGCTGCCTCTTGCACACCCCTTACTGGAGATGTGCCCGCAACCAAGGTACATGCCCTTGACCGGAATCAAACCCAGGACCTTTCAGTCCGCAGGCTGACACTCTATCCACTGAGCCAATCCGGTTTATTCCTTGTGGGTGCACATATTTTGACGTTTGATTCTGGCATTTTTGTTTTGTTTTGTTTTTTAATGTTTTTTTTTTTTATTTCAGAGAGAGGAAGGAAGAGGGAGAGAGAGATAGAAACATCAATGATGAGAGAGAATCATGGATCGGCTGCCTCCTGCACAGCCCCCAACTGGAGAGTAAGCCCATAACCCCCAGCATGTGCCCTGACCGGGAGTCAAACTGTGACCTCCTGGTTCACAGGTCGACTCTCAACCCCTGATCCACGCCAGCCGGGCCCGGGCCTTGTTTTTAATGCTTACTCTGTTAAAATGAACACAAATCTTTTGACTAAGAGACGAAGCCTGTGTTGATATAAAACCTGCAAATTACCTACATGTGGGAAAGTCCGTGTTTTAATTGCTGTTGGCATGTGATGCCCCATGAGAAGCACGCCCCTGGGCTTCCTGGGTACTCCTCCTAGGACTGATCCGCTAAATACTCACTCACTGTAATCAAGCCCCCAAGAATAATGCGGAGGGAGAACCCTGTTGTTTGGCTGGCCTACTCTCTCCCACGGCGAACGCCACTGCGGTGGGGTGTTGTGTGTGCGTGTTTTCTCTCTTTTCCTTTGGCGTTGTTGGCCACACCCGGTGAACGAAATGATAACTCTTTGCTGCTGTGCCTTCGCCGTGTTACATGCTCACTCTTCTCTTTCTGTTCTTTCTGTCCCAGCATCCCCCCTGCCAGAGGAACAGTTCATCGCGACAGCCGGGGAGAGAGCCCGGATGCCCAAGGTAAGGTTTCCATGTCCATCACGTTAGCGTGACGTACAGATTAAGTCGTTTGCAGGTTGAATTGGACTATTACCAATACCTTGGTCATAAAGGTATCCTCAAAATGGCACGATACAACCAACGCAAATAGTTGCGCACACACGCTTGGTTGAAACATTATTTCCTCAAACTCTATCCCACATCCCACGGGTACTGAGGGCTAATTAACGACTAGGAGCAATTCCTCTAAAAGTGGGCAAGCCAATGAAAGTTTACTTTTAGAGATCTAATGAAGGATACGTGGAGGAAGAGACGTTTCTAATGGTGAGCGATCGTTTGATCTTGTTAAAAACCAAGGCAACGGCTCTGTTGACTTGACAATGGAGAGAGACGGGGTGTCTCGGAAAGGAGGTGAGGACCCGGGGTGCCTCCCTGTCCGGTTTGGGGTTTGTGTCTGAGACTTCAGTTCTTTCCCCCTGGTACCCAGTCTCCAGGTTCACGTCAGGGTTGCCCCAGAACAAAGGAACAATTAACCAAAGCTCCACCAGATGGCAGTATTTGGAAAGCCATCTCGAGAGGCTTCCATGCTCTCAGCCTTCAAGGTCCAGAGGACAGCCTCGCTCAGCCTAGGGCCCTGCATTTCACCAACGGCGCTCCAAACCTCCCTCGTTTTATTTCTTTCCCCCCAGCAGCAGCGGTTTTCCGTCGGGGGGGATAAAGGAATGGGGGAAAATATGTACTGCTTGCTTTCTGGAATGATAAAATTGGAACTCCGTTCTTAGGCCATTCTCCAAACTGGACTCGGCGAGCTTTACAAGCTCACATCCCTGGGTGATGTCCCCCGTTTGCTTTTGCGGTTTCTTTGTGCTAAGCATTACGGTTGGTGATGGTTTTAAAGTAAAGTCATGTAGGAGAGAGACTAACATTCTCCTCCGACAGAAGCGTAGACTTGTAAGGAGTTGCCTTGATAGTGAACCCAGGGAAGCATGCAGGTACAAAATTATGTTAAATGAACACAATTCATTTATTTAAATAGGAGGAGGGAACATTTACCCCTTTGGCTCTAGTAGACTCTCTCCCCGGTGGGTGTCAAAGCAGCCGGGTTCTTCGGGGGCCTGCGCTGGCTCGAGGGCTGAGTTGGGGCAGAGGAACTGGAAAGGCCTTTGCCGGGAGAAGCAGACGGGTGCCTAGAAGCACGGACACCTGCACACGGGGTGGGAGGCCTGAGCCGGCGGTTGTGCTGGTCTCCGGGCAGAGGGCCCGCGTGCCCGAGCTGGAGGAAACGTGACAGGAGCCCCTCTTGGGGGAAATGGGAAACTTGATCGCGAGGACAGTGCATCTATTGTGCAGTAGGCTGGTGCTTTCTTTTTGGAATGTTGTGGGGGTACGAGCTGTTGACTGGTGTATGAGTTTATAGGGTTGTAACTAATGCACGAGCGCCCCCTGTGGACAGACTAGGTTCTGAGAGACGGGCCTTCGTTAACCATGGACTTGCCTGATAATGAGAAGTGGAAGAGTTGGAGTAATTGGGTGTCCATCCCTCATCCACCCACGTGGGCTGCTTGTCATGGGTACCCGTGGCACCGACTTGAGTCAACTGCTCTCTGCATTCAGAAATAAAACTGTCGACTGCTTAGCAACCCTGTAGCACACGGTACCCCGACCGGAGATGTCTGCCTTCCACAGAGAGTTCTAGAACCTGGCAGAAAAGGTTGTCGTACCTGGCCAGCTTGTTCTTTCTGAGGGGGGCTGCGGTCCGTGGAAAGAATGCTACTGAGGCCCCTCAGGCTGGAGCCTGCAGTGCTTGTATCTAGTGGGGCTCCCTGGTCAAGAAGCGGGTTTCGCCGAGACCGGTTTGGCTCAATGGATAGAGCGTCGGCTTGGGGACTGAAAGGTCCCGGGTTCGATTCTGGTCAAGGGCATGTACCTTGGTTGCGGGCATATCCCCAGTAGGGGATGTGTAAGAGGCAGCTGGTCGATGACTCTCTCTCTCATTGATGTTTCTAGCTCTCTATCTTTCTCCCTTCCTCTCTGTACAAAATAATAAAATATATTTAAAAAAAGAAGAAGAAGGAGAAGAAGGAGGAGGAGGAGGAGGAGGAGGAGGAGGAGGAGGAGGAGGAGGAGGTTTCTTCTGCCCCTTCACTCTCTTGGGCTGAGTTTTTGGTCTGAGAGTCATTACAAAGAAAGGGGTGAATGAACAGAGTTGCTGGGCACTGGCCCTCAGTCCCGTCTCGCTCCCAGGGAGGGCCCGGAGCGGTGCCTAACCTCCTGGGGCCGATGGTGACAACGCCCTGCGTCTGGGCCATCATATTTGGTAGCCACTCGCCCCGTGGGCACATTGAGTAACCGGAATGTGTTCACGTGATGGGAGGACATGTTTGATGCATTTCCAGTTGTATTTCATTGTAATTAATGTGAGGTGAAGAGCCACACGTGGCCACCAGCTGCTGTACTGGACCACCAGCTCCAGAAGCCAGGTTAGCGGGAACCGACGCTCTCAGTGCATCTTACACACACAGCCTCCCTGGGAGCCCGCTCCGCTCTGGAGGTGCAGACAAGTCTGGCCTGGCCTCGGGCTGCCTCAGTGGTTATGACCCAGGGATCGTAATCCCCGGGAGGGTAATTATGGGACATAGATTAGAGTATTTACAATTATTTAACTATCTCCCAGCATCCAGCTGCTGCCTGCATTCCTTCTCAAATGTCTCCCACGTGTATATTTTCTTCTACTTCCGTAGTATTCCCAAATTTTCCGTTATTGAAAATAATAGTGGAAATCACAAAAAGCAAATCGCCCGTCATCTTCCCTGTAATCCTCCCCTAACAAATCATCTGCTCTGGTTTTTCCCTTCTGGTCCTCCTCCACACGGTTTTACATACGTAGCGACACCTTGTGCACATCTCTGTGTGCTGCTCTGTAACCTTGTCGAGCAGTGTTCCATGCGGCCTGGCTGTTCATGCGTGTAGTGGCTAACGTCTGCAGAACAGCCTACAGAGCTGACATTATTATTGTTATTCCAACCTGCCATTGTTCGGCGCCCGGAGTCGCCTCCAAAGCTAATGGGCAGGCTTTAAACGGATCGGTCACAACGGGTTAAACAATACCCCCACTGGCGGCCTCACACCGTGTTCCCACATCCCCCTGGGAAGACAGCTATTGTGCTATGAGACTCCTGAGTGGATGTTACCTTAGATCTCATTGTTTTTCACACTACATATAATTTTTAACTTCAGAACATAACGTCCCCAAGAGCGATGCTTGGCGATGCATTCTACTGTAACCGTCTCCCTCCCCCCACCTGAGCCGCACAGCCCGGGGCTGCCCACAGGCTCTGTGACAGTCTCTGTACAGCTGGCGTGGCGTCAGGTTGCCCGGCGACTGGTGCTGCGTGTGACACAGATTTCCAGCATCCCTCGCCTCAAATAGCATCCTGCCCCAAATGCACGCGCTGGCGTGTTTGTCTCCGTCCTAAAGTTAGTCATTTTCAAGCTTCAAGAGAGCAGTTCAAAGGGATCCCAGGTGATCAGGTTAACCACGAACTACATTAAGAAACACGGACAGTAAAGGTCACGGAAAGCCTCAGATGCCCCGGAGACTGAGTGCTGAGCCACGTGGGGCTTTGTGTTTTCCGATACTTGGGACTCGGAGAGGGGCATTCCCACTGCTGGCATGTGGCAGCCTTTCCAGGCCATGGCTGAGCTGGGTCATATCGCGGGAGAGAGCGTCCCTCGTGGGAGTCTTGCTTCTCGCTTTATTCTTGCTCCTGGGGAGTGGCACGTCTCAGACCGGCGTGAGGGATTGCCACTCAGGCAGTGGTACCTTGGCTTGGGCATGGGACCCAGCCATGAGTGCCCTTCTCTGGTGCCTGGCTCAGGGGAACACTGGGCTTGGTTTGTCAAAAAATAGGAATTGAGTGCTTGGCACCTGTGTGATGACAATGTTTTCTCCAGCCAGGAATAACAATTCTAGTTGGGTGTCTCGGATTAAGAGGAGCCAGCCCTCCTGCTTAAGAAAACATGGTCTAGCCCTGACTGGTTTGGTTCAGTGGATAGAGCGTCGGCGTGCCGACTGGAGGGCCCTGGGTTCAATTCCGGTCAAGAGCATGTACCTTAGTTGCAGGCACATCCCCAGTAGGGTGTGTGCAAGAGGCAGCTGACCATCGATGTTTCTAACTCTCGGTCCCTCTCCCTTCCTCTCTGTAAAAAGCCAACAAAATATGTGTTTGTGTGTTTTTAAAAAAAAAAAAAAAAAAAGAAAAGAAAAGAAAGAAAAGAAAAAGAAAGAAAAAAAGAATGTAATAATGGCCTATCCCAAGCACACTCTTTTTTGAAACCTGCATCTTATCAACAACCTTGATTTTTTTTTTTCATTGTAGCACTTGATTCTGAACGTGCATTTTCTATAAATGACAAACCTCATATTATTTACATAGACAGGATAGATGGGAAGGGAAGGAGAGCGGGAAAGACAGGCTCTTGGAAGCTACTGCATTTATCCACATTTCTGATGATAGGAACTTGCTAGAAACAAACAAACAAAAAATACTGAGAGAGGCAGCTGGAAGAGAATTGATAGGGTGTTTTGGTTGGGTAAATACTTGAACAGGATGAACTTAAAAAGAGAGGAGGGAGAATAAAGACGTATAATAATTTCAGACTCAGGGATTAGGCATCTGAATTAAGGCTACTAACAAGATGATACCCAGGATATTATTTTTAAATGTACTGACGCCCTAGCTGGTTTGGCTCAGTGGATAGAATGTCAGCCTGTGGACTGAAAGGTCCCAGGTTCTATTTCGGCCAAGGGCACATACCTGGGTTGCAGGCTCCATCCCCAGTGCGGGGTGTGCAGGAAGCAGCCAATCAATGGCTCTCTCTCTCATCATTGATGTTTCTATCTCTCTCTCCCTCTCCCTTCCTCTCTGAAATCAATTATTTTTTTAAATGTACTGACGCCTAGATGTTTCTTACCCAGTTGTATTTCTCCAGGCTGGTGGAAAGTGAAAATACCGCCATTG